TGTCCCATTGTGGGTGCCCTTGGGTTCTGGCTGTGTTTTGGGATGTCTCTGTGGATCTTCTTTGGCTCTGGTTGTATCTTGGTATCCCATTGTGGTTGCCCTTGAGTTCTGGCTGCCTTTTGGGTATCCCTGAGTCCCAGTAATGTTTTGGATGGATGACTGCCATGTCCCTGGAGAATGGAGAGCTGTGTCTATGTTTGCCTTTCAGCCATGGGGTTGTGATGCAGGCAGTGTGGTGAAGTAAGGCTGAGCCATGGGGTCACTTGCTCTGACGATGGGAAATGTCATCCCCTGGCTGTCATCACTCCCCATAGCCAGGGCTGGTGCTCAGCTGTGGGGCCAGGGGCACATCCTCTAACATCGGTACCGCAAACCCAGGTTGTGCCATCAGTCCCCTTCTCTCTGGGGGGTTTCCCTTGGCAAGGAGCCGGGTACCCGCAAGCATCCCAAGGGATGTGATGGTTCCTTAATGGAAAGGGGAATTGGAGATCTGCCCCGCAGCTCTCGGCTGCAGGAAGCAGCTTTTGGTCTGCTGCCCTGTCCATAAAACCACCTGTGTCTTTTAAATAGCATTTGTCACTTGACTGGCCATGGAATCACACCAAGTTCTGCAAGCAGCATCGTCACTGAGCCCTGTGCTGCTCTGCTCTTTGAATCCTGCTGTTTGTTCCATGGGAGTGGGGCTGCCTTGAAGGTGTTGGTGCTCAGTTGTAAAGGACAAGGAAGAAGCAAATTCTCTGCTCCTTGCTCTGTTGAAGTGTTTGGCTCGTGGTTGTCCTGCACAGTGGCCCCAGGAGTTATGCAGAGACAGCTCACCCTCCACTTGGCTCACTGTGGGGTTTTGAGCATGGAATGCATCCCTCAGTGCTGGGCAGCCCCAGGACCTCACAGTCCTACACCCCGATGAGAGCATCCACACCACACAGATTTGGTGTCCCGACAAGGAGCTGCTGGAGGAAGAGCCAGGGAGAGGCAGTGCCTTTAATTAGACCAAGTGATGCAGCTGGAAAAAATGGCCAAGCGCAAAGGTGCACCAGCTCAAAGGAGGGCTTGTGCTCGTATTTTTTTTTCCAGCTGTCTAATAAAAGCCACAGCTTGTGCCTGCAGAGCTCGCCTCGGTTGCCCTGGGGTGGCTGCGGCTCCATTTTGTTGGGAAGCAAAACCCCATTCCCCTCCAACCACCCATAGCAAACTACCCTGTACCCAGCTTGAGGGCCGTGCCCTGCTTTCTGTTTCCCTTGGCTTTGCTGTAATGCTGAGTTCTGGTTTAAGTGCCTGTGAGATGGGAGCACTGGGAAACGCTGGAGGCAGTGCTGCCAGCACATCTCTACCTAAAGGGGATGCCAACAGAGCTGCCAGCTTTGGTCCTGGTAGATGATGAACTTCACTTGTGATATTCTGTTTTAATTAAAATGGTTTTCTTTTTAAGGGGCTTTTGTCAGCTGGGGAGAGTTGGAGCCCTCAGTGCTGTCCCCCTGCTTCGTCTGTGCCGGAGTTGGTGGTATCTTGTGGAGGCCAGGCTGGACGTGGCTCTGGGCAGCCTGGGCTGCTGGTTGGCGACCCTGCACATAGCAGGGGGTTGAAACTGGATGATCATTGTGGTCCTTTTCAACCCAGGCCATTTTATGATTCCAGGTTCTTGTAATCCCTCATCAAACCCCACCGTTATCATTAATTTAACTTAGAATCACATAATCATTAAGGTTGGAAAAGACCTCTAAGATCCCCAAGTCTAACCCCAACCCATCCCCATCCACCCACTGACCACCTTCTTAACATGTAGCCCATGAACGCCATTACTTTCCAGGCTGGGAGCAATGTTTGCAATCAATGTGACTAACTGAAATAGTAATTAGTGTGAACGCTGGCTTTATTTTAAGACACATTCGTCAGTGCTGCAGCCCTCTGGCTCCGTGCTGCTGGCTAATGTTACTGCAGATAACCTGCGGGGAAAGGGCAGGTCGCCTCGTGCTGCTGAGCTGTGGGGGCAGAGCTGAGAGCGGTGATTTGGATCCGTTTTGGGGTGCAGATGGGTTTGGGGCTCCCCCTACTTGCTCTGTGCAGCAGCCCTCAGCCAAGCACCGGTGGCTGTTGAAGGCTTCCTGCTGCAGGGGCAGCCCAGCAGTGGGGCTTGGCACCGAGGGGACCGATCCTTGCATGAATCATGGGTGGATGCCTGTGTGCCTCTGAGTGTGCATCGCCCCCTCTGTTTTCTCCTTCTATATTCAGCGCATAAACAAGAGCGGTGCTCTCTGTTAACTCTTGGTTTCCCAAGAGCTGCCTCAAGGCTCTGCGTGATGCTGAAGGAGGAGGAGGTTTGGGCTGGAGCAGGCAGAGACCCAGGGCTGGCTTCCCGCTCCCTGGCAGGAGCTTTTCTCAGCTTTGCCACGCAGCAGGCGAACGCCTCTGGGTCTGGTAGGAGCCAAGCACGGATCTGCAGCTTGCAGCTCCATTTGTTGATGTATGCCATGAGATGGGTGCACTGGAAATGTTGGCAAAGGTGCCCAGATTGTTGCTGGTGGCTCTGCTCTGCCTTCCTGCGTGGGACTGATCTCTGCACAAAGACCTGGGTGAGGATCTTGGGGTTTGCTGGTATTGATTCTGTTGCCCTTTGCGGCCATTCCTGGGTGCAGCCTTGAGGTACAATGCAAAATCTTCCTTCTGTTACATTTAAAATAAATAATTTTACTTCTGCTGTCTCAGGGCAGCAGAAGACCTTCTCCTGTACCAGTGTGCTGAAACAAATCCAGAGGTGTTTCCATTACCGTTGTGGCACCATTGGCAGCTTCTGCTGCTGTCCCCACAAGCCTCACCTGGCATTTGCAGGAGCTAGACATGGCTTGAACATG